TTCCTAGGTCATAATTGCTGTAAACAGTACCTTTTGGAGTCATTATTGAGTTTTAAAGTTTTCTTACCAGCCAATCAAATTCGAGTATTATCAAGGTATAATAATATACAGTTATTGACTGGGTGAGTGGGCAACATATGACTTGTTGGACCTGAAGGTGAAAATGTTTCCCGAAAACGCAGGCCAAGGGCAACATTTTAACCATCAGGTCCAACAAATCATGTGTTGCCCGAATCCCAGTCTATAACTGTTTTGTTATACCCTTCAGTGATCACTTAATATTTAATCAATACACACTCTAATTATTATCAATTACTAAATATATGGAAAATTATGGCTTAATCAGTAAATATAAAACAATAGCTCAGAAAGAACAAAATTAATTATATTTTTTTTATATCACAAAAATTATTTATCACAAAACATACTCTTCCCTTCTTCCTTGCTAGTAGCAACAACTCTTGCAGCTTTTAACTTCGGCTTTTTAGGTCACCTGAGCCGAAGGCTCAAGTGAGCTTTTCTGATCACATTTTGTCCGGCGTCCATCTGTCCGTCTGTCTGTCTGTAAACTTTTCACATTTTCGACTTCTTCTCAAGAACCGCTGGGCCAATTTCAACCAAACTTGCCACAAAGTATCCTTGGGTAAAGGGGATTCAAGTTTGTTCAAATGAAGGGCCACGCCCTCATTCAAGGGGAGATAATTGGGAATTAATGAAAATTTGGTGGCATATTTTAAAAATCTTCTTCTCAAGAACCACTGTGCCAGGAAAGATGAAACTTATGGGGAAACATCCTCAGGTAGTGTAGATTCAAGTTTGTTCAAATCATGACCCCCGGGGGTAGGGCGGGGCCACAATGGCCGACCAAAGTTTTACATAGAATATATATAGGAAAATTCTTTAAAAATCTTCTTCTCAAGAATGACAAAGCCATAATTCATCATATTTATATGGGAGCATGCTCAGGTAGTGTAGATTCAAGTTTGTTCAAATCATGACCCCCGGGGGTAGGGCGGGGCCAAAATGGCCGACCAAAGTTTTACATAGAAATATATAGGAAAATTCTTTAGAAATCTACTTCTCAAAAATAGCAAAGCCATAATTGATCATATTTCTATGGAAGCATCCTCAGGTAGTGTAGATTCAAGTTTGTTCAAATCATGACCCCCAGGAGTAGGGCGGGGCCAAAATGGTGGACCAAATTTTTACATAGAAATGTATAGGAAAATTCTTTGAAAATCTTCTCCTCAAGAATAACAAAGCCATAATTGATCATATTTATATGGAAGCATCCTCAGGTAGTGTAGTTTCAAGTTTGTTCAAATCATGACCCCCCGGGGTAGGGCAGGGCCAAAATGGCCGACCAAAGTTTTACATAGAAATGTATAGGAAAATTCTTTAAAAATCTTCTTCTCAAGAATAGCATAGCCATAATTGATCATATTTATATGGAAGCATCCTCAGGTAGTGTAGATTCATGTTTGTTTAAATCATGACCCCCAGGGGTAGGGCGGGGCCAAAATGGCGGACCAAAATTTTACATAGAAATATATAGGAAAATTCTTTAAAAATCTTCTCCTCAAGAATAGCAAAGCCATAATTGATCATATTTATATGGAAGCATCCTCAGGTAGTGTAGATTCAAGTTTGTTCAATTCATGACCCCCAGGGGTAGGGCGGGGCCAAAATGGCCGACCAAATTTTTACATAGAAATGTATAGGAAAATTCTTTAAAAATCTTCTTCTCAAGAATAGCAAAGCCATGATTGGTCTTTGGACTACTTTTGGATTTAAGCTTTTCAAGTATAAACCAATTCTGCTTTTTCCTAGCCACAGTGCTCAGGTGAGCGATGTGGCCCATGGGCCTCTTGTTATTTGTCACCAATATTGAACGATGATTAATTACTTGTGACGTAGCAGTGACGTTGCGGTCTAACAATTCTTATGTTGGACCAACAGGCCGGTCAATAGTGAAATTATTAGACCGATGTAATAAATTAATATTTCTTTCGTTGGACTTTTTATAAGTAATAAATATATAGAAAGCTATTTATAAGGGTATAACAATTATATTTAATTACTTGTGCATGCATGAATGTTTCCAGCTGCAGAAAAAATATAGATTGATGAAGTTGAGATTTATTTATTTTTAAGTCACCTGAGTCACTCAGGTGACCTATTGCTATCTGTTTTCCTCCGTCGTCATTCGTCGTTTGTTGTTCGTCATCAATCGGTCGTAAACTTTTGAACATTTTTAGCTTCTTCTCAGCAACCACTCAACCAATTTCTACCAAATTTGGTATACAGCATCTATGGGTGAAGGGGAACAAAAATTGTGAATTTCATGGTCTGTGGCAACACACTTTGAAAAAATTACGCACTTTGACAAAATTTTTCAAAGTGCGTTAAAATTGGGACAAAATCAACGCACTTTGAAAAATTTTTTCAAAGTGTGTTAAATTTGGGACCAACTCAACGCACTTTGAAAAAATTTTTCAAAGTGCATTAAGAGTCTACATCAATATATTTTACCATGGAGACACTTAACGCACTTTGAAAAAAAAATCATATTTTAGTCATGGAAAGATTTTATTTGTTATTTATCTTATCTTAGCCTAACCCTAACCTAAAAAATGAATGGATTTACTCCCATCGAAAAGAGGAGAAGACGGGTATAAGATCCCTCAGTTCAAATCTTTATCTTTCCTATACATAGGTGTCGGTTATAAACGGGGGAGGGGCGCAATAAACCTAAAAAGGGTACGCTGCATTTTCAATGCTTATACGATGTATATATCTTTCCAAAATAAGTGGGGGACTTCGCCCCCATCCCCTCCCATGGCCCTTCGCCCAGTCTCGATGTCTATGCTATACTCAAAGCATTCATATAATTATGTATTTACCTAACTGGTATGACGTTGAAAACTTTCAATAATAAATGATTTAATTAAAACAGATGAAAACTAGAATTTTTTAAGTACAGAAAAACGTATGAGAAAGAAAGAATTTTCATAGTTTTGAACAATCAAATTGGCCCCTTTTTATTATGATAAATGCTAAGTTGCTTGAAGCTGTCCTCTGTTAGTGCCCCCTAAACACCTTTACATCTAATAATCAAAGACTACAATTAAAAAAAAAGAAGAAACAAATTAATGAACTTAAACAATCATCACTCTTTTTTTTCAAGACCCTTTAATTTTCCCTTTTATTTTATCAAAAACCTTAAATATTTAAAACGTCAATATCTCAGGTCCTACAGTGACTTTATCATAAAAAAAGTTATCAAACCAGGATCTGTTATTTATCATACCGATTATTTGAAGGAATATTGATCAATCTTTACATTTTTTTTCAAAGTGCGTTAATATGGTCGATATTAACACACTTTGAAAACAAATTATTTTTTTCAAAGTGTGTTAGCTTGGTCCCAAATTTTAACGCACTTTGAAAATTTTTTTCAAAGTGCGTAATTTTTCAAGTGCATTGTAACAATGGTCCCTGCCCCCCCCCCCCTGGGGCCTGAGGTTTGGGGCCAAAACCACTAAAATTAATGCAATCTTTAAAAATCTTCTTCTTTACTCCTGGACATCAAGCAGTCAAACTGTTAGCATGAATGTAATGACCATTGAGTCCTCTACCGGAATTGTGAAATTCATGGCCCCAGGGTCAGGGGTTCTAGTGCTAGGGCGGGGCTCTATTGATTATATAGTGAAAATGCATTATTTCTTTGAAAATCTTCTTCTCTGCTCCTGAATATTAAATAAACTAAGTAAGTATATAGTTATAATGGGGGAGAATGCCTCTTCCAAAATTTTGAATTTTATGGCCCCAGGGTCAGGGGTTCTGGTGTTAGGGTGGGGCTCTATTGATTATGTAGTGAAAATACATTAATTCTTTGATAATCTTCTTCTCTGCTCCTGCTTATTAAATAAACTAACTAGGTATATAGTAAAAATGAGAAAGAATGCCTCTTCCAAAATTGTGAATTTTATAGAAACAGGGTCAGGGGTTCAGGTGTTAGGGCGGGGCTGTATTGATTACATAGTGAAAATACATTAATTCTTTGAAAATCTTCTTCTCTGCTCCTGGGTATTAAATAAACTTACTAAGTATATAGTTATGATGAGGAAGAATGCTTCTTTAAAAATTGTGAATTTTATGGCCCCAGGGTCAGGGGTTCTGGTGTTAGGGCGGGGCTCTATTGATTATATAGTGAAAATACATTAATTCTTTGAAAATTGTCTTCTCTGCTCCTGGGTATTAAACAAACTAACTAAGCCTCTTCCAAAATTGTGAATTTTTATGGCCCCAGGGTCAGGGGTTCTGGTCTTAGGGTGGGGCTCTATTAATTATATACTGAAAATACATTAAATCTTTGAATATTTTCTTCTCTGCTCTTGGGTATTTAGCAGATGAACTACCTTATATATAGCTATGATGAGCAAGGGCCATTCTTCCTGAATTGTGAATTTCAAGGCCCCTGGGTCAGGCGTACCATAGAGGGGGGTCTACTTATATACTGAAAATGAATTAATTGTTTGAAATCTGCTCCTTGGTATTAATCAAACATTTTTGATAAGCAAGGGTGCCTTTTCCAAAATTGTGAAATGTGTGGACCAAGGGTCAGGGGTTCATGTGTGGTAGTGGCACTACTGATTATTGCTGAATATTACTGATTAGTTGAAATGCATTTTTTTGTTCCCCCACTCTACATCTTTGGGTATTAAGTAACCAAACTAAACATGCTAAGTGTATAGTTATGATTAGCAATGGTGCCTCTTTCAAAATTGTGAATGCCATGATGTCTAGTTTAAAACATAAACCAAAATCAATTGTTGGAAAGTTGTTGCATGATGCTCAGGTGACCTATAAGGCCCATGGGCCTCTTGTTATTATTTATTAGATTATTATTTGTAATTATTTAAAATTTATTTTAATGTAACATGAGTTTTTCTTAGATAGACAATATAGTACAACACTTGTTTATAATTTATTTACAGGACAATATGAGTTATTCATGAAAGGGCAGTATCAAACGGCAGTAGAGGAGTCATCTCAGGATCAAGACGCCCTCACCAAAGTCATTGATGATATAGAAGGAGAGGATGGCCCAATGAACGGTGAGCAGGCCAATCACTTATACACTTAACTTCATAGCACTATAATATAATAATAAAAAAACGTTTTATCCAGAATGTAGTAAAGGACCAGAGAAATTGCATTAACTAGAACACATCTTTGGTATTTGTTTGGATTTTGCTGTTGTATTACCGTAATGTCATGTATATAGTGTACATTTTCCTACAGAGTTTTGTTTTTAATAATGAAAGAGTGTTGTTGTACCCTGAAACATAAAAGAAATGCTTAAAGTCCCCATTTAGAAGCTACATATAATTATGATGGATTCCCCATACAGACTCCATGTAAAGCATTGTTTAGGGAGGGACTAGGACCCAGCCTCTGGTTGATACTTATGTGGCCAGCAGCTTGTAGTGCATTAGATGTAGAGACAGTTACAGAGACTTCTATGTAATTTTTTTTGAAGTGTTACATTTTATTGTATTTGATCAATTGTGGCCCCTGGGTGACCTCTTGTTTGGTTTTCACTAGGCATAGGACATTCTTTCTGGGTAAGTTGGTTAAAAATATAGAGAGTGCATACTTGTTCACACATGCACAGCCACACTATAGATATGACAATACGGTATGTTAACATTTTATTGGACATATGTATAATGGGTATGATGATAATCCAATTTAAACTTTCTCTCGGAGCATTTTTAGATCAGTTAGAAAAAATATAAATCTGCATAAATCATGTAAATTGTAACAATTTTTTTTACCAATACATAACATAAATAACTTCAAAAAACTACTGAAAGAATAGCATAAATAGGACTAAATATGGAATATGAAAAAAAGCTTATATAGTACATGGCACTTTCTCATTTCTAGCCATATTTAATGTATGATGTTGATTTTGATTAGATACATCATATTTAATAGAAGTTAACAACTTTGAAACATTTATTCTCAAAGTTTGGTGAAAAATGTGGCGTGGATAGAAATTTAAAAAAAAAGACAAATAAACATAAAAAATATTATCAAATTAACCCATACACTTTAAGGTTATGGTGAAATTTTCATAAGAAGCAGAATTACTTAACCAAAGGCATGATATTCATGTGGATTTGATATTGCCTTGTAATTGAAAAAGATCATTAGAGATTACAAATATCTCTGTGTTTTACTCAATGAGAGCATGCTTATTTTTTTTTGTGCTTAAATGTGAATTAATGCTGCAGACGACGACCAGTCCAGCTCAGACTCGCGAGCAGAAGAAAGTCAGTCGGCTTCACCAAAAAAAGGTGAAGTCACCCATGGAGCTCAGTTCAAGTTGATCAAGGGGAAAGGTCAAGGACAGCTAGCTTGTGAAAGGCCATGTCAAGGGCATCTATCCTGTCCAAAAACAGTTTGGCAAAAATCTTAATGTAAATTTGGCAAGTTATACAAGCTAGAATATAAAATTAATTGCTTTACAGCTGTTAATCCATCCAGGGGAACAGATCAAGCATCTAATTCTATGATCATGCAGTAAAACATGGTTTGATAATTTGAATTCATATAGGCCATCAAATCAGGCTAGCTGTTCTTTAAATGTTTCAAACCCCAGTGTTGTTTGATATGAATGAATGTGAATGTATGTGTAGAATATATATGCTCTTGAAACTGATCATTCATCCTGCAGTTAATTATTGACATACTAGATGTAATAATTAATCTTAAACATGTATTTTCTGTCTCTAAAAGTTGATTAAACCTCTTGGATTTGGTTGTTAATTTTTGTTCAGTAGAGAAGGGTGAATTTCTGTATTAAAATTCTTTTTTAATTTTAAGATTTGAAGACAGCTTTTGATAAAAGGTGCATCTCTCTGTAGTGTTTTTCTGTAAATTATAACTGATGTAATTTTGTCTGATTTATGGGACCATCCATTCTTTTCTATAATGGTTTTGAAATAATGATGATCATGATGAAATGATTAATAACATTAAAACATCATAGAGAGGAGCAAAATAAATATTGGTAATGTTACAATTCCAGACCACTTCAAGTATCATAAAAAGGACCTATAAGATCCCCACCCACCCTCAGTTCTGAATCTGAGGCATATTAAAATGTCATTGGATAAAATTATTATATATAGATTTAACTCTATGAACAATTTCACTGGGGCACCAGAACAAAAAGGGATGGTATGTGGCTACCTGCCCCCAGCCCCCTCCCCTTATTATGCCCCCCTTTGAAGAAGGGAGGGCATATTGCTTTGCTGCTGTCTGTTGGTCCACTTAGTCTCCATTCATTTTCTTCACAACCATTGCACATTTGGAAATGAAATTTGGTATACAGATTTATCAGGTGTATATCTTGGTCAAGTTCTGTTTTAGGTATGATCGCACCATTTTTGACAGAGTTATGCCCCTTGGAAGTTCTTAGAAAAATTCCACTTATTTGCAGTTTCCGTTCATTTTCTTTGCAGAGGTTGCACATATTGAAATGAAATTTGTATACAGATTTTTCAGCTGAATATCTAGGTCAAGTTCTGTTTTGGGTACGATCGCACCCTTT